TGCGTCTCTACGTTGTCGTTATCATAAATGGCTGCGCACTCACGACCTTATGTACGCCGGTGAAGTCTTGGTAGCATTGAGCATCACATTTCACCGCCCCTATGTTGGTCCAAACGTGTCGTGTGATCACGACTCTGAGTGACTCGGAGCCGACTCAGGGCCTACTCAACGCTACAATGTTTGCGCTTCTTGGCCCGCGCATGCGTAGGATCAACCTCCGCTGTACCAAGTGTTTCAGCGATGTTGATGCCCGACTCGGTCTCATCGTTGTTGGCGTCGAGGTCGAACAAGTTGACGAGCGTCGCAGCAGCTTGCGAAGCAGACGTTGTCGACTCGAGGGCATCGGCCAGCGTGGCGTCGTCGGTCTCGGACCGAATGAACTCCTTGTTGAAGGCCAGAACAAGTAGCATCTCGAACTTGACGTCGCCGAGGTTCTGGCGCAACGGCGAGTCGATCAGCTTGCAAAGCGAGAAGACACGCTCCTGAAGAGGTAGCCATCCAAGGTTCCACTTTGCTTCCGGCCAACATTGCTGGCCTTCTCGGTACTGTTGCTGGCCGGCTTCTGTGGAGCAGCCTTGCGCACGCTGGCCTTGGGGACGAGGGACGGGTGTTTGTGCTTGAAATGGCGGAGCGTATTCGACGCACTCCCCTCGTAGAGGGCGACGATACAGTCGCTAAACTTACTCTTGTTGCTCAGGCACACGCGGCATACGTAGTCGTAAACGGCGGCTTTGTCGTTCTCGCTTGGCACACACTCGTACTTGCCGAAATGCTCCCAAACCCATGAGGTCCGGCCCTTGATCTCTTCGAGAATTGGAGCGTTGGCCGACACAGGAGCGTTGGAAACGTTGGAAGCGTTGATGGTCGCCATGGAACAAATTTGGTTGGGTCTTTGCTGAAGGCACACGCGTGCGTTCCCTCCTCAGCCATTCGTACACCCGACGATTGCCGTCCAGTGCACTCTGTAGAGAGTTGGCAAGGATCCATTCTGAAATCTCAACTGTTGTGTCTATGACGCATCATGCGGCCTAGCGATGTCTTGCTTTTGTGGTGCCGCGCACCACAAAAGCAAGACATTTGGTTGGTGCCGCGCACCAACGACAACATGTCTTTGACTCGTTCCGTCTCTCTCGCCTCGTCGCTCTCGCCTCGTCTCTCTCGCCTCGTCTCCCTCGCCTCGTCCCCGTTCTGTATCTCTGCTCGCCTCGTCCCCGTTCTGTATCTCTGCTCGCCTCGTCCCCGTTCTGGTCCTGCGTGTCTTTTGTATTGCGTGTCTACGACAATATTGACCAGATCATTCATAACTACATAATTCACTCTCCAATTTGCATCTCTGTGTTCAAGCCTCCTCTCAGGGCTTGGGACTCAACACGGCGGTGAAGCACAAAGAATTCTTTAGTTGCTGACAAGCAAGCCTCCCCCAACACTCCCCCAAGATGGCCACGTCACCTCGTGTCCAACCCGTGGACCCAAAGAACGTCCCGATCCCCGCGACGCCCAAGGTGGCGCCAACCTACCGTCGTGGCAGCACGGACGCCTCGATGGGTGCTTTCGATGACCCGGACGCGACGGTCACGTTGACGCTCGGGCAGATGGACGACCTTTTCAACAAGTTCATCACCAACAACCAGTGGCTCGGTGCGGCAGCCCGGACGCGCAGCCTCGCGCAACAACTGCCGCCGGTCGAGTTCCATCATTTCACTCACCTTGCGCCCGAATCCGTCGAGCAGAACCGCCCGGCACCGGACGGCCCTGGGCAATACGCCAAGACCATGCCTGAGGGTTTCTCGCAAATCGTCACGGCAGACGACATCAAGGCACCGTTCCTCAACTCGAGCGACACCGCGAAAATGAAGGCTTTCTGGCTCGAGTGGCGCCGCTACGAAGACGCGATCCAAGAGCGGTTCAACCAGTTCGGCGGTCAAGTAGCCATACAGCGGCGCGTGTTGCGCTATTGTGTGGACAACAACACGCTTCGGACGATGCTGCGCTACCGCTGGGGCCAAGGCAACCGGGACCTCGACTCAGTCCCGGACGACGAGCTCTATGCGTTCTTCAAGACCGACTGCGAGCGCGTGAAGACCAACGTTGCGGACTTCTTTGCGCGTGTGCGTCGGGAACTTCGGTGCGACGAGACGATTCGCAACGGCGAGTCTCGTGCCCTTGTACTGATCGAACAATACGCACGCATCTGCGACGAATCGGGCTTCCACAGTACCACAGTACCACGACGTGGAGCCCGAATCGGCCCGCAACCACATCATCCACGCGGTGCGGCCCGAATACCTCCAGTCGTATTTGCGTCAAGAGATCAACTTCTCCAAGAAGCGCTACAAGCGGTGGGACGACTTTGTGGGTCTTCTCATCGACACATTTGGAGCCTACACCCGCTTCGACAACTTCAAGAAGCCCTCCGCCGGCACGCCTCCCGCCGGCGACACCGCGCCCACTGGCGTGACGAAGGACAAGGACAAGGTGCACAAGAAGCAAGGCTCGAAGACCGACGTTGGTGGTGCCAAGGTGCCTGGTGGCGCTGCGACAACCAAGAAGGCGCCCACCGGCGACTCCAAGCCCAAGCATCCGTGCCTCAAGTGCAAGGCTGTGGACCACAACGTCTGGAAGTGCCCGCTCATCCCGGACAACGACGCCGGCGTAGCGGAAAAGAAGACCCTCCTCAAGGCCTTCTACGACCAGCAGCGTGCGACCCCGACGACGCCTCCGATCCCCCGCAACAACATGATCCAGTCTGCGGAAGATAGCCTCGTCCCAGCCACTGAACAACCACCCCGCGATCTCTTGTCTGGCGCCCTGGCCGGGCCAGTGTCGGTCCCTATCTCGGTGCAACTCGATTCGGGCGCCGACATGACGGTCGTCACGCGGGCGTGGGTGGACAAGGCTCTACTGGCCGGAAGCGACGTCAAGCCGACGGTTTTGGCGGTCTCGCAACGTGTACTGACATTCACGGGCCAAGTGTCAACGATCTCGGAGAAGGTCGTGCTTGACCTCATCTTGCCCGCTGGCAGCAGCTCGCTCAAGCTCCAATCGCTCCCCTGCATGATCCAAGAGGACGAGCTGCCCGACTATTGCGGCGATCTTCTGGTGTCTCGTCATGTGATGCACCAACTCGGCTACGACCCGACGTCTCTCCTCCAGAAGGCTGGCGAGATCCGTAATGCGCCTTAAATACGCTAAAATGCCACGCCATCCCGGGGTTCGAAGTGGGTGACTCAACCCACTCATAAGCACTCACTCAACAAGGTGCCTGAGTGAATAGCGATTCACTCTGAGTGAATCGACTCATGAGTCGGTAACGCGACTCAACTGGTATTCACTCACCATCCCTGACGCCAAGCCTTCGGAACGTATTAAGTACGCCAACTCAATTTTTCATCTCGAGCTTTGTATATTACTCAATAGTAACTTGGTATGCGTGGCATGCGCACTTTATCGAGTTGGTCAACCTGCACTTGAGAGGATTCCTG